TAGTTTTGGAAGAGGATTAAGAAAATAAATAAATTTCATGCTCATTGAGGGACAACAGAGAAGTGCTGGGAGATCAAAAAATTATTATTTGCTGCGGAGTTTAATTTGAGGGGGAAAAATTCAAAACTAGTCCTAACGTATAGAGGGGTGACAATTTTTGTCCCAACGGAATGCAGAAAATATGAATAGTTCCACAACTTTTTAAAAGTAATCAAAAGTAGGATTTTTTGCCGGATTTACTATTCTCAATCCGGAACGCCACGCCGCGCACTTGTGGCTCATTTTTTTACACGAGTTGTGGGACTATTCATATTTTTATGCATACATGTGGGACCTAGAATGTCACACCCCCTATACCTGTAGGACTATTTTTGAATTTTTTCCCTATCTACGTCTGATGCCAGCGTGTAAGAAAAATAAGGCACATGTGCGCCACGTGGCGTTCCGGGCCGGAAATAGTGATTCCGACAAAAAAAGTCATACTTTTGATCATTTTTAAAAAGCTGTGGGACTATTCATTTTCTGCATTCCGTTGAGACCAAAATTGTCACCCCCTACACATGTGGGACTAGCTTTGAAATTTTCCCTTAATTTGAGCCTTGGATTTAGAGCAACTTCAAGGAGTTTGGTTTATTTATTTATTTGGGTTTATTTTATTTTATTTAGAAAAGACTATGAATTATTGTTTTTGCTTTGATCATTAGTTATGCGTAGCTAATTATTTATTTCGGTTCTAGAGACGTTGAACCTCGATTACCATGTTGATTAATACAATTTGTCTCGTTCTTCTTGTCGCATAAAATTATTTGTGTTATTCTAATTACATGTCATGCATTATGTGTGTTTTTTAATTTAGATTGATCACCTAAGTTAAGAAATACATGTTAATTGCTAGATTTAAGACTTCGATCCGTAATTGTCGCCGTTCTTAATTCACTTATAGCAACTAATAGTCGTGCTCGGATAACACAACATAATTACATTAACCGAACTTGTGTGTTTGTGGCTTAAATCAATTTATTTTCCTAGTTTTTAACGCAACTAGTGAATTAAATTATGCGAGCCTATTTCGAATTGAATTCCTAACAAACTTACGCAAGCAATGAAAATAAAAAAGACAAACTTTCCCTCCTTCAACTAGCCAACACCACATTCACCTTGAAAAACTTCATAAGTAAACATGACACAAATGCAAAGTAATGGATCTTACAAGTAAGTAATACCTCTCCTATTGTGTGCGCGAAGAAAATCGTATGGGAAAGCTCGAATCTTGAATAAAAACAAAGTCGCTGGAAATTCGTCAGAAAATATGAGCCATGGACCTCCCAACACAAACTACGGAGAAAATAAATAAAAAAAACTATTCCCCAAAGGAGGAATTAGGAAAGTATGAATGCTTGGTTAGCAAAATACAAAGGCACAAATGTATTATACTCATACCATAAACACACACTCAAAAAACACACATTTAGTGGAAAAACTCGCCCAAAATGGTGTTTGGCGAGTGCTGGTGGCCCTTAGGCAGACGCTGGCAGCGCATGTGGCAGATGCGCGGGCGTGGGCGAGTGTGCGGTCGCCGAGCGGACGCTTGGTGAGTGCTCGAGTGCAGCGTG